AGCATCAGAATTATACACAAGCGGTAGGAAAGCATCAGAATTACACACAAGCGGTAGGAAAGCATCAGAATTATACACAAGCGGTAGGAAAGCATCAGAATTACACACAAGCGGTAGGAAAGCATCAGAATTACACACAAGCTGTAGGAAAGCATCAGAATGACACAAGCGGCAGGAAAGCATCAGAATTACACAAGCGGCAGGAAAGCATCATAATTACACACAAGCGGTAGGAAAGCATCAGAATTACACACAAGCGGTAGGAAAGCATCAGAATTACACACAAGCGGCAGGAAAGCATCAGGCTTACAAGCGGTAGGAAAGCATCATAATTACACACAAGCGGTAGGAAAGCATCAGAATGACAAGCGGTAGGAAAGCATCAGAATTACACACAAGCGGTAGGAAAGCATCAGAATTACACACAAGCAAGAGGAAAGCATCATAATTACACACAAGCGGTAGGAAAGCATCAGGATTACACACAAGCGGTAGGAAAGCATTACACACAAGCGGTAGGAAACACACAAGCGGTAGGAAAGCATCAGAATTACACACAAGCGGCAGGAAAGCATCAGGCTTACAAGCGGTAGGAAAGCATCAGAATTACACACAAGCAAGAGGAAAGCATCATAATTACACACAAGCGGTAGGAAAGCATCAGGATTACACACAAGCGGTAGGAAAGCATCAGAATGACAAGCGGTAGGAAAGCATCAGTATTACACACAAGCGGTAGGAAAGCATCAGAATGACAAGCGGTAGGAAAGCATCAGAATTACACACAAGCGGCAGGAAAGCATCAGGCTTACAAGCGGTAGGAAAGCATCAGAATTACACACAAGCGGTAGGAAAGCATCATAATTACACACAAGCGGTAGGAAAGCATCAGAATTACACACAAGCGGTAGGAAAGCATCAGAATTACACACAAGCGGTAGGAAAGCATCAGAATTACACACAAGCAACACACAAGCGGTAGGAAAGGAAAGCATCAGAATTACACACAAGCGGTAGGAAAGCATCAGGATTACACACAAGCGGTCAGAATTACACACAAGCGGTAGGAAAGGAAAGCATCAGAATACACACAAGCGGTAGGAAAGCATCAGCATCAGACTTATTACACACAAGCGGTAGGAAAGCATCATTACACACAAGCGGTAGGAAAGCATCAGAATTACACACAAGCGGTAGGAAAGCATCAGATTACACACACAAGCGGAAAGCATCACACACAAGTGGTAGGAAAATATCAGAATTACACACAAGAATTACACACAAGCGGTAGGAAAGCATACACACAAGCGAATTACACACACAAGCGGCAGGAAAGCATCAGAATTACACACAAGCGGTAGGAAAGCATCAGAATTACACACAAGCGGTAGGAAAGCATCATAATTACACACAAGCGGTAGGAAAGCATCAGAATGACAAGCGGTAGGAAAGCATCAGAATTACACACAAGCGGTAGGAAAGCATCAGGATTACACACAAGCGGTAGGAAAGCATCAGAATGACAAGCGGTAGGAAAGCATCAGTATTACACACAAGCGGTAGGAAAGCATCAGAATAACACACAAGCGACAGGAAAGCATCAGAATTACACACAAGCGGCAGGAAAGCATCAGAATTACACACAAGCGGCAGGAAAGCATCAGAATTACACACAAGCGGCAGGAAAGCATCAGAATTACACACAAGCGGTAGGAAAGCATCAGAATTACACACAAGCGGTAGGAAAGCATCATAATTACACACAAGCACACACAATGTTGATGAAAACGTTCGTACAGTGTTTGTGATTACAGGGGTTTGTATGGCATACTATCCCATATCCCCCAGAAATATTGTTTCAGACCCCTGTGATAGTATACCATACAAGCCTTCATCCCCAAGCAACATTGCTACAGACCCTTGTGACAGTATACCATACAAGCATACTATTCAACGACTCGCTCCCTCCCCCCCCAATGTAATTGTGTAGTTAAAAAATATCAATTTTGCAAATAGAAAATGTGATGATTGAAAGAAATGTAATTTAAAATAATTTTTGTGGTTTTTTTTAGTAAAATAGTAATATTTCGTAATAATAAAATGAAAAAATAATGTTTCTTGCATGCCAAGAAACACCAAACGCGCCATACACGCCATTCAAGTCATATTCCGGTGAAAAAAATATGTATAGACTCTAGGGTACCGCCGAAAACTTAATGACGTCATCAAAACCATCCCGTCAGTCCAAATACGTACTCTACCATAACCAAAAACATCAATGACGTCATCAAAACCAGCTCGTCAGTCGAAATACGTACTCTACCATAACCAAATGCGTCAATGACGTCGTAAAAACCCACCTGTCAGTCTTTTCTTTTATTTAAAAACACCAATGACATTATCCTGGCGTCGGCGCGTGAGCTTACCCAAAACTGAGGCCCGACCCAGTATTGCAAGCAATTAGTATACACTGGTTGTATGCGATGGCACTTTGACAAAGAGAAACGATCTTTCACTACACAATTTGGTAAGATAATTGCGTGAAAACTATCCTCACATTGACAAATACGCAATTATATATTCGCAGATATTGTAAACGCCAATGAGGCCGATTTGATTCAGTAATGTATGCGTAATCAGACCCCAATGAAAATCCCGCATACTTAATATGTCAACGCGAACTTCCGCCTTACACAACCAGACAAGTGTACTTGACTTCTCTGTTGTGATATCCAACGTGAAAGTGAATAAAATTAATCATGTCATTTCTAAACAGTCGAAAATATACCAGCATTTCAAAACATAGTTTATATAGTCGACATATTTTTCAACGGTCCACACAGGCCACTGTCTTTACAGATGGGGAAGTTCCCGTCATGCTAGTTGCTGTCACGTTTTCAAACATTTCATCCTGGGTTTTGATAATGTCGACTTAGTTTGTTTGTAATATAAATAATACATATACAATAATGAATTCATTTGATTTTGTAGCTCATAATCTCCTTTTTTCAAGATAATCCCTAAAATCAATTATTGGACGTCGCAAAATCTGTGACGTTTCCGCAACAAAGATGAAAATAAATATCTTATAGCTACGTAATGTAAACACTCCGCACTTTGGACCTTTCATTTCTAAAGAAAAATTGCGCAGTTTACGCGCGGGTTTTACGTCAGCAAATTAAACAATTCATAATCTGTTGTTTAGTTTGATTCTAGATTCAATATCCAATACCAGTGTCAGCGGCAATCTCTTGATTTGGAACTTTACATTGTTGCCAAGATTTTACATTTTGCACAAATTTCACTGATTTGATGGAAAATGAATTCAAAATTTCGAATTTGGCCGTTTATAGTCATCTTCTATAAAAGTTTTAGACTGTTTAGGATGTGATGGATCGAATCTCACATTTAAAATTACAAATATGTATTATATCACTGTGTAGCATTTCAGTATTTCAGTTCTTTTCATGAAAATTGTCAAATTACTTTGTATATGCCTTCAATTTTGCCATGGCATGTTTCAGGGGTGCAGATAGCGAAGGTGCTCGTAACTCCTGGAGTATCGAGGATGAACAGCAGTGTGATTGCTCAGAAATGTCAACCTTCACATTGACAAGGGCATGTGAAAATGTTTCTAGAGATGAGGGCTTGTATGATACGCTTTTAGTAGTAGTATACCATACAAACCCTCATCCACAGAAACATCGTTACAGGCTCCAATGTACACCGGTACCTCGTCCCTCTTGATTCCTATTTGTTGATTTCAGTATTTCACAACCTTAAAGAGAAGCTACAGTTTGCATAATTATACGCTAGCATTCCAGATCATCGACAGAATGGACCAAAAAATCCCATAATTTTTACAAAATATTCCAGAAATCCTAATGCTGTGTCACTGTTAGCCCGCACCCGTACCTGGAATGTGAAGAACTCGAGCAAAGGAGTGGATGTTTGTTTGAGTTATTAACGTTCAAGATATAGGTCTCCGTGACCTAAATCTATCGATGTTGTAAACAAAGTGACGAAATGAAATCGATGACTACGCAACGCGGAAAAAGAGACATTCCCATTAGTATCAGGATTTGTTTATTAAGTGTATGTGCAAGTTTTTTTTGTTTTTTTTTCAAGGCCGGATTGGGTGTGGAACATCATCGCAACATCCAGGGTCATATTAGGACTCGTTTTTGGACACACAAATATAGGAAAAAGGCAAGGAAAGAGAGAACAGAAAAGAAAAGATGAGATAATAATTAAAGTATTGAAATGAGGTCAGGCGGTAAAATTTAGCTTCTCTAGTGATATATATTTGTCATGTACTTTTCATACCAAACAAACATCCTAATACTACCGTTTTACATCAGTTTACAAAAGTTGTATTCGCCACTACGTACATAAATCATAAACGTATGAGATTTAATATGAAATAAATACTATCCAGCACATTTTGACGTCAGCATTGCTGACTAAGATACATTGTACGGTTCCCATCAAAATAGCCGTTCCATATGACGGATTACACTGAGAGATAATTAATTGTCAGTTTGAATTAATTCACAATCGGTATAAGACCCCAAAGGACTGTAAATCAAAACATTCAGTACATTATATGCAGTAATGTTTGACTGCAAAGCTCTGACATTTCCATCTGCCATAACGGCCGTAACAAGACAGTTCAATTAACCGAGTGGTAAATACAGGATATATTAGAAACAACTTCACAGAACTGGTCACAATTTTGTATTGTTTTATTAATATACATGTATTTTTTATGATATAGATATTGTTTATTTACAATTCAATGATATGATAGTCCTTGATATATATGATGACATTTGAAAATAAATGTTAATGTACTTCTAAAATTGTGAAGTGAAACGATTCCAATAGGAATATATGATTTTTTTCTTCAATTCATTTGAAGCTACCCCAGACAAAGAATACAAAAAAAGTCATTCTAATTCAGGGCGCTGTCAGTTTCCTCTGAGCAGAAGAAGTATGTTTTATATTAGTTTCTGTAATCCAAACATGGCCAACGCGCTTATGGCACCACTGATCGGAAGGGTTACCACCCATGCGATGATAATGTTCCTGAATAACGCCCAGTCGACGTTTGCCTTTGAGCGCACCCTGCCGACGAATACAACTGATCCAATCTTGCAATGTGTCGTACTGACGGGAAGACCTATGTTTGAGGCTACGAGAACTGTCAAGGCTGATCCAAGCTCTATACAGAACCCACTGAAAGTAAAGGAAATGAGGGGTATATAATAGTGAGAGTGCAATCTGCTGCAGTGACAGGTTAATCAAAACAACATATTATACAATGATAGTTGTAAGCTGTTCTTGCTACGAGTTTAATCACTATAGAATTAAAGTTATTACCCTAGATTCCGAATTCATTGTTCTCGTGTTTTTACTTTCTTTTTGGTTTAACTTTGTTACAGTCATGTTATTCTGATATGCTACATAACGATGTTTTCTTTGTGACCCTTCTGAATAACAACGGCATAGCTGTTTATATGTAAGGTGAACTCATGTATAGAACATACCTCGACGGCGTTATTTTGGTGAGGTCATCCCCAACCGTTTTAATGACCCGTCGTCCCCAAACCCACAGTCCGATGACCATCCCTACTCCTCCATATACCAATATCCATATTGGCGTAGCTGCTGTTTGTAGGGCAGTTCCCTCCTTTGCTATCAACCATATCGCAATCAATGGGCCGATGGAGTTACTGTTTGAAATAAACAAGCTCTTTGTAATCACACCTATCTAAACTGCAATAAATGGGATATAATAGAACAGGTGGTCAATCTAACGAAAATGAATATTATTATTGTCTCTGCTTTTGTTGTTTGTTGAAGAAATACTATCACTTCTCCTAATTGTTCATATCTAAATCTGGCGAAATGATTTGAATATAGATCTATACCTGACGTCATTTCCGCCATGCGCGAATGCTCCAAAAACTGCTGTAAGTATCTGGAGGAAGGAGAAGAGCTTGGCAACTTCCGGCTTGTCGGTAATATTTTCTCTGGTTTTTACTCGTGTTTCCTGGTGATAATTAATAGAACAGAAATAGGAATTGAAATAGAATATAATAGACCAATATATGCTTCAACTTCTGTGGATTGTTAATGACTGACACAACTACACCAATGTCGAGAGTCAAGCATAAAAAATGTCTTATGGAAATAATGGTGTATTTAATGTATTCAGAATTTAAGACGACGAAGCGATGATCAGTCAGACCGATAACACTTTGGAAAATATGTTTTCTTTGCTTTTTCTCAAATATAAAATTTGATCTGTTCACTTTTTACTTAATCATGTGAGAAAAGCGCCATGCCTTCCCTCCAAAAAGTGCTTTTTCGGTTGACATTACCAATGCACATATTCGAAATATCTCTCATTGTTTCATGTTTTTCACCAAGATTGAAAAAAACCTCTCATGTGCATACTTGTAAGAATCCATTACGATGACCATGATACACGTAAATTCCAAATGTGCTTTTACACCTTCGTGAAAATAATGATAATAAAACCTTTTATAATTCTGTTTATAAAATCATAGTTAATGTATAAGTCACCGCAAAAAGGAAAATCTTACCTCGGAGTTATCCTCAATCTCAGGGACATCTGTAAAATAACATAATTATGTTAATTATTTATATAAAATATAGCTGAATTATTGATGTACGATAGACAACATTGATTTATTGATTTGCCAATTAAAAGACACACATTCTAGAAGAGATACTGCTGTTTGAAATTACACTTCAAAATATTTATAACAATTTTAAAATGAGAATCAATTTTAAAATAGTTCTTTGTTAATTATGGGACATGCTAATTTCGACGCTCAGCTGAAACCTAATTTTATTTCAATTCCGAATTAATAATAAATAACAAAAATGCAAAAAGGTCGTTTGTACCTCTTCATTAATTTCATCTAGATTTGAACATTTCTTGCGATCGCGATTTTCAGTTTCATCACAAGTTTCAAGATTTAGGCCCTTTTCATCACTGACGAGTCCTAATTGACGAAATAACTAAATAATACAGTATACCATTATTTGTGTTCTACTATAACTAATTTGTACTAAAGGTAATATTCAAGTATGTATCTTTTTTATACATTCTGCATGCCAACTAAAATATCACTCTTATTAACTGCATCTATCATTAAATTAAGATTTATATAAGATGTTTATGATTTTATGCGAATTTAATCCAATAAATAGCATGTTATTTTATAATATCATCGTTATATAGATAACAAATCAAGGAAGAAAAAAAAAAATTGGTAAATTATGTATTTTCTTATCAACAAATGTCATAGAATATTGTATATGACATATGTAGTTATTTCGGTATGGAAATTAGTAGTTCAATATCATCCTGCCATTATACCAACCTTCGGTAACGTTGAATTGTTCAAGTTCCGTAGCATTGTCATCGTCGATTTTCCCTTCTTCTTCAAACTTCCGAATACGTTCTCTACAATCATCTGAATAGAAAAGGCACATTGTGTTGTGAATTTGAATTTTCTTCACAAAGATCAGAAGAGAGACAAGATTTTGAACGGAATATTTTTTTGTTTATCGTCTTTCCTGACTAAACCACATTGCGTATATACATGCATCTATATTTTACGTTTCTAGATGAAATACCATGTTTCTGTGCTTCAAGTAATCGATTTTTTTCATATCACGTTATCATTATGATACACTTTTAAGACATTAAGACATTTAACGAATTATATCTGCCATGCCAGATGATACTTACCTCACAATACAGAGTGTAATTAATTTTGCAAATTGATCAAAAGACACTTCCTGTAATATTCCGATATCAGAGGGAAACTATCTCAAACGAACGATAAACAATTAGCATAAGTATTGATGCTGAAATGAATCATGCTTTCTTGTGACTTTACCTGAAATTTTCTTCCGATACCAAGGTACAAGGAGATACCTTACTCCGATCGCCACTATGATGGAGATTCCGAAGGTGATTATAAACACACCGTACAACGGGATTTTGTCGAAATGGAGCACTGTAAAACAGAAGACTCATTGCATTAGGACATAAGCATGGTGTATTGTTAACATTTTGTAGATACTAGGAGTTCGATCAGGCCAAGCAGACATCCAATACAACATTATATTAAACTTTAAGCCGTGGGTTCTATAAAAACCTGGATCTCAAATGAAACTACAATAAAACGTTATGTCAAGGAATATTTCTATTGCGCAACTGATATCGTGTATAGTAGAGGCAATTTGGAAATAAAATATCAACGAATACCTGGAAAAAGAGAAGAAAATGATGGAACTTATTGCAATACGGGAGTAGTGACCTCACCGCTAAATTTTGACATTTAAAAAATTATTTTCCTCATTCGCTTAGTATCACTGACGAGTTCTAGCGGGGCGAAGCAGCTGTAAGCTGTTGTTTATTCATAAATGATAATACAGATAAACTTGGCCTCATTCTGGCTTTAAATCGTCATACTAACAGAGAGTCTCGAAATATCTAACTTTGAAAATGCTCAACAATACTAAGGTAACAATTACTATGCAACAGAACTTACAAGTGGAACCTTCGTAGAAAATGGAAAATAGATTTATGGCAGCTGTAAGACCGTAAAAGATTGGCAACAACTTAAGACCAGATTCCAGGGCTTTGTCCTATAAAACACAAGGGTGAGTACTTTATTTCCTTATCTGAAATGTTATTTTCTTCAACATGTAATGACATTATCAACTCGGTTCTCCAATTGAGAGCGTCAAATTTCTGTGACCTAGATATCAATGTAGTTGTAGATGGAGTAAAAACGACTTTTTCTTTTCCAAAATTACTGGTATTTAAACGATTTTTAATTTGTTCACCACAGAAACATTTGTAAAACATACTATACTGATATGTCTCTGCTGTGTCTTTTATGGATGTGGAGTCAAATGTAATGTACAAACACAACAACTGGGAATTGAAAACAGAAAAATTTGTGAGGCGCGTTCGGTTATACCAATTTCTCGTATAGTCTGCAAATTGACGGTGCGTTCGATAACACGATCCGATTATTTCTCGTCTGATTGTTACCATTATAGTGAGTATTTGTTTATAATAAACTTAATAAGTTACGAATACATTTATTATTAATTAATTATTTATCAAAATCAAGTGTTACTACATAGATAACCATGATTACGCACCTTCTGCAATACAATTTTATTGACGCACATGAATGTTAATACAGACACGGCACCGGAGAGAATTGGCGAGAAAAACCAGGATCCCACTGTAATCAGAATGAAATATTATATTTGTACAGATAGTAGGGTTATTTTCATAAAGTGTCCTTACATTTGTCATTTCAGAAAGTTCAGACTATTTTCTGTTGCTATTAACTTTTCATAATACAAATAAAGTATATCAATTTTCGTGCCGTCGCTTTTTCATCAAGAAAATCATTAAGCTGAGCAGTCATATATGTGTTTGATTCAGTGAGGCACTGACTGAGAAGCTTTCTCCGTCTTTGCGTTTTCACGCATCCCATATGGGACATCCATATTGGATAATTAACATAGTACTGTGTGACCTTTGTCATCTGGACGTGTGATCATATGTCATGAACAAAATTAATTATTACACACAATTCTGATGACGAGATTATAGTTTTATTTAAACTTGAGGTATGGCATACTGTATTTTTTGGTATTTTTAAATATGCTTTTTCTTTATATGTTTGTTATATAAAAGTTTTACCATATCCAACATTAAAGCTGTTTGATCAACATTGTGTTTACCAAATTTTTGTTTTACAGGTTGGAGAAAAATAGTCAATAATATGTGGGTATGTGGGATAATTTATGTTAAGAACATCGACAAAGCTTCGTTCTGATCTAAATTCTACATATACGCGTAGATGGAATATTTATATCCCACATATCTACATATGGTTGACACCATTAATATTATATTTAAACCGTGACTAACACTACCTATGAATCCGATTTTGATCCATTTGATTCCCGCTGTCCCTCTCGCCACCAGGGAAAATCCGATCGCTGCGCCAACAATACTGTGCGTTGTTGAGACAGGAAGACGCATAATTGTAGCAGATATCAGCCAAACACAAGACCCTACGTAAAACATCATCAGGAAATATAGCTAAATGATCACCAGACTGGAATTTATTAGATCCATAACATTCAGAAATAATCCTAGCTCCTAGCTTCCAAAAATACTTAATTATTCAGAATCTGATGTATTGATGTATAGCTGTCAGCAGTTATTAACAACACTAATGTTAAGAATGATAATTCCATTGTGATTTCAAAACTTAAGAGTTGATTTTTTTAATTACTGTTAAGAACTCGGTCGATTTTTTATTTTTATTTATCTATTTTTTTTTTTTTTTTTATGTTTTTTTTTTTTTTTTTTTTTTTTTTTTTTTTTTTTTTTTTTTTTTTTTTTTGTTGTTTTTTTTTTTGCGTCTGTGAGCTGGAAAATGGACATCGCTCACATTATTATGCTCCAGTTTCCTACTGATACCTTACAGGTAATTATTCCATCATGTTCTCGTATTACCTGTAAGTGTAGCGATGTTCCCCACCGTGAGAACCTTCTCAGAGCCATTATTGTACATTTCTACATCAATTATGCCTTTCCGGATTGTGTCCGATACTCTGTAACCTGAAAAAAGTAATATCTTTATGTAAATTACTGTAGTAAAATATCATGTTAGTGTTACCACCAGGATTTTGCAAGTTAAGGGACATTATTCTTGACACAAATGGCATCATGAATGGTCTTTAATGGAGTCCAGTCTAGAGAGCTAGTATTGTGTTCAGCTGCAGTATTTCAGCATCTCCTATCAATTCACCTTGTTGACTAAATAGACCACAGTTTGACAGACTTCATGCATACAAAATACATAAAAAATGTATACATATATCAACTTTCTATGCGATAAAAAAAATTAAAAGCATAAAAACAGTATCAAATTCGGCCAGCCTGAATGATGTACAGTGCAAGATTTTCACCTGTCGTTCAGCAACTAATTAGCATAAGCCTTAGTTGCACTAAATGAGGCCTTATAGGCTGTCACGTCATGTCAACTTCAACGACTGGTAGCCGACACCGTGGAAAGAAGAGGCGAAATCAAGAACTGTCGTAGTATGCGATGTCTGATAATTATCGACACCCTGGGCATTTTGGCTATTGAGAAGTCTTTTTAAGATTTTAAGATATTTCGCCACTGTGATTTAGAAAAGAAGTCAAGGTCATTCATATTACTAAACGTGGTAGCTCTTCATCCCAGCATCATACAGGCCCAATATCAGCACACTGGGCCTTATGGCTATTGAGAAGAACATATTCGACCCATGTGACCTTGAAAATGGATCCAGGTCATTTATATTAACAGATTTGATAGTCAATGACCAGAACTTCAAATGTATGAAATATCAAGGCCCAAGAATTTGTAGAACTTGAGCTTGGACCCCTACCGAAAACCGTAGATTGACATTTTACAAAAAACATATTAATTATTTGTCATCTTACATAACATATCTAAAGATCAATTAAATGCATTTAGCCGTTAATGATATAATGCCATTAGAGGTAAAATCGGATATAACATTATAACTATGTAGCCTTAAACCAGCGTGATCTTGTTGATTCAGTGTTTGTTATTGAATGAAAGTTATGGTATTTTCGTATGATGACACTACCAAACTAAAGTGATTCTGTCTTATACATGGACATTGGCTGAGCTGCAACGACGTAAAATAATATCAATACTTGAAAAAAAAACATACAATCAATTCCTATTAAATGTGAAGATGAGGACATTAATCCTAGAAGACTGAATTGGTAAAATGTTCACTATTTAATGTTATCTGTCATTATACTTACCGATGAGAATGGCTCCTAACATTTCAAATATTGTTCCAAGTATGCAGGCTTGTCGCAGAGTCAACACTCGCGAACCAACAGAGGTCCCGAAGGAGTTGGCAACATCGTTAGCTCCGATTCCGAATGACAGAATAAAGGCGATGATAAAACCAACGATCACCATCCATAGATAGTCCTCTGGGAATTCCATGTTTTATGTTTTACAGGACTTGTGTTTCCTGCAATTACAAAAATACAATTAATATAATTCAAAACAGGTGCAACTAGGTTCTGGATTTCCCCACAAATGCTAACATTTTAAAATTGCTTTATCATCATTTGAGTTACCTTGCAACAAAATCACTATTAACTATGTGCTATGCTGCCACCTTTTATACGGTGGAAACATCATACGTTACCCGCAACTCTAGATAAACAAAATAGTGATCACGTGATGCAAACACCAAGTAAGAGGTGTGGTTAGTTTCATTTATAACGAATAACACAGGAGGAAACAACATAGGTCCTTCTCATGGCAAAGAGAAATGAATGTACCATAGTTTCGTAAAGGATGCAAACAGAAAACATCAACATGTCAACTTAATCATAAACCAAACTAAAAAAAAATAACAACAATAAAACACACAAGCAAAAAACTGAAAATACAAACATGTCAATATAATCATAATCCAAACTCAAATTCTATAAAACTGCGAACAAAATAAAAATGTGAACAAAAAAAAGATATGCACGGAGGCTCCTGAAAAAAGTACCAGGAGAATAAGACCAGGTGCTCCGAAACAGTACGCGTCTTCTGCTTCATCGCCAACACCCATCATCTAAGCCTTGGTCAATCCAAGTAAGCAATAACACGTTCTCAGTATTTTGATATTTTAATGAGATTATTGAGAAATTGACAAAAAATTATTTCCGGACAAGATTGAAAAGAAAAAACCCAACATTTTCATGTCATGATTACAAGGTCTATTTAGGTGTAAAGGAATATATTGATCGCAAATGACAAACCTCCTCCAAACATTATGGTCCCAAACAAAATAACCACACGTTCGGGTTTGAAAGTGACGTGAGAGAAATTCAAGCTCGTAACTTGAGGTCAAGCATTAGTAATCACAGCCTGAGAAACGTTCAATGTTGTTGAACGATATAATCAGCGAAATACTACAACTGGTATTCTTCTCACGAGTGAAACAAACTATGTTCTATAATGAATGAATTAAAATATTCCGCAACATGTTTAAAACAAAACCATTGATCACTACATGTTTCCCAAATCTGAATGACTTGAATACAAATATGCTTCTGTGTTGTAAAGAAAGGTTAGACATCAACTGGGTGCCTGTAGGAGACGTGTGAAAATTTTCCCAGGGAATTTACTTAATATTCCATTTCGATCCTTTACGTTCTGCTAAGGGGATATCGGAGAGTCTAAGAACTGTTATTTTCAGATGCGTTCAAAATATCTCGAAGCATATGATTGAACAAGTCCCTCCCCTCCTTTCTCCCAAACATCTCCATGCAATTATTTTATCATCAATTGTTTATCTTAACACACGTGTTCAGCAGCATAATAATGTAGGAAAAGCAAGATTTCCTCAACAGAAATTTACTAAAGAGATATGTTTTATCGTTAGGTTTTGGCAAAATTTATCATTCAAGCAATGCTCTCATTTCTTTCAGAAAAACTATTGTGTTTTGTAACTCTTATTCATCATATCTATTATCTACTCGTTTCGTATTTCAACATGAGAAAAAGAAAGTAACCATATATTTAACAAGTCTAGTTGGATAGATATATATTGGAAAATGAAATAAAAATAAAATTAAATATTGTGCTTAAGTATTATCTAATGTTAAAGAAAAAAGGAAATATCTTAACCTATTAAGTAAAAAAAATATTATATATTTAGTGAATTACTTTTAAATCTCAGACCAACTTAGTGATGTCATGCGTTAACTGACAAGCTCTACTCCTGTGACAAACTCTACTCCTGTGACAAACCCTACCTCTGTGACAAACACTACTCCTGTAACAAGCCCTTCTCCTGTGACAAATTCTGCTTCTGTGACAATCTCTGCTCCCTCGATAGACCTTTTACTTTGACAAGCTCTTCTGATAAAGTGTCGAAACTCACATATGTCAGACTTCAGATACAGAACATGTAGCTGTCTTATATATGGTACGTAGCGTGTCAAGTGACTGTCTACACAACTTATTGTCCATAAACTGGACCAATATATTTTTTGACAAGTGATAGTGTATTTCTTAAGGATGCATTGTCAGGCCTTTACTATTGACAGGTGACATGCTTTGTTTCAGTACATCAGTACTTAAAACAAAGTATCAACTTATTTCTTGTTTTGATTCTGTTTCATTATTTTGTCACTCACTTGTCAGTATAAAAAAGTTATAAATGTATTTGTTTATATTTGTTTTGTTATAAGTTAGTTTCGTTTTGTTGTTGTTTGTTTATTTGTTTTGTTTTCTGTTAGTCTGTTTGTTTTTTTATTTTACTTTATATATTACTAATAGTTGTCTAGGATTAGTCTTCCTAGAAATATTAGTTTTAAAGTGTACAAATATATATTGATAATTCAATATGCTAATGGCAGTGAAATACAGACCCAAACCCATACCAATAAAATATCTTTATCTACTTCTTTATTTAACTAAAACAATTTGTAAACATTTCATACAATGAGGGATAATTCAGATCTAAATTTTTTTAAATTTTTTTTTTCGTTCTTTGAATAAATGGAAAACCAATCATTTCCGTGGTGATCATACTCGTGCGATTTCGCGGATTATCTGTGAGACACGTGTGCATTGTATGTACTGTTACAACAAGATTGCATGGTTTTAATTCGTTACAATATGATTTCATTATTTGAAAAGAAAATCAGAAAAGTTGATCGGTAAAAACTACTTACTATACAGCAAATAATCAATATAAAAATATAAACATCGGTATTCCTCGCGCATCCCATACGTTTTCTTAAAATCACAATATTTATTGATGCTGTAACCTCACCAGTACTCTCTGCTCTAATAATTGAACAAGGTTTAGACACCACGACCAATTAGAAAAAGTTTAGACACCACGACCAAATAGAAAAAGTTTAGACACCGCGAACAAATGGAAAAAACTTTGGACACCGTATCCAATTGGAAAAAGTTTGGACACCGCCAATAATTGGAAAAAATCTTGGACACCGCGAACAATTGAAAAAACTTTAGACACCGCGACCAACTGGAAAAAGTTTGGACACCGCGACCAATTGGAAAAAGTTTGGACACCGCGACCAATTGGAAAAAGTTTGGACACCGCGACCAATTGGAAAAAGTTTGGACACCGCGACCAACTGGAAAAAATTTGGACACCGCGACCAACTGGAAAAAATTTTGGACACCGCGACCAACTGGAAAAAATTTTGGACACCGCGACCAATTGGAAAAGGCTTCGACACCGCGACTGATTGACACATTTTATGGACGTACCAGCTGAAATGATAACGCAATCAGAAGGTCGGTATTTCATTGTTGTTTTAGACTTTTGTTTGTTGTCGTTTGCTTTTGTAATTTTTTATCATTTATTTGTAGTCCTAACTGACCTGTGCTGATCGGTTGTATACTTTACCAGATATCAACTTGACATTTCCATAGGATTAATTAAACTGTCAATACAGCCTTTAATTAAAATAAGAGAAAACACAAGAAAAGCTACAGAATTTAAAAAAGAAACAGACAAGTTTGATTATGCCGTGGATGGGTGCATGTATCTACTGGTATTACTTCCAAGTCATTTTTGCTTTCTAAAGTATTATCTAGATTCGAAACCTGCTTTAATGAAATTCAGATTTCATAACGTCCTTATGGATTGGTTTCTTTTGATCGTGATGACATACAGGTAGGGTATAGGAATTGCTGGTCCCAGGTGTACCAGAGTCTTTAACAATGGTTTTATCTGCTTAAAGGTCAGTGTTTTAGTAGCGTACCGACAACTTTGTCAATTTTCAGTACAATGTGGAAAGATGTGGTACCCTGCTGAGCGTCTCTCGAAAACACAATCATTCAACACGTGCTCTCACCTCACGTGCCTCGACAGACTATATCATTTCATAGGACCTTACACAATGTGATATCAAATTTTTCTTGTTGAAATGCTTCTTATATTGAAAAATAATAAATGAATAAATAAAGTTTAAAATGAATATTTGATTTATGTGCTAAAATGGCTGGATATCAAATCAGCATTCCAATGCACAGTTCGCAACTGAAGTATTGTCAATTAAAAGAGTAAATTTGTTTCGAAAATGTACTACAAAGAATCATTGAGATAAGTTCAGAAGATATTGTAGAAATTCACGTCATTTTATACCAACAACTTCAGTGACGTATTGATCATAATGATCAGTTTTAACAATGTGAACACTTTCGAAAACAGACTCACGTTCTAAACCTAATACCCACTCAATTTTAGAGTAGACAGCTATGAGCACGTCTGATTACTTCAAATCCATATTAATACGAATCGTCCGTGTTTATTGTTTACAAGGTAGAATACAAACTTTCACAAATTACAAAGCCGTATCACAACGCACCCTGAAAATCACGCGTATCTTTTTTTCTGACTTTATGTCAGTTGTCTTTTGTCACAAAGTATTAACAAACACACAGCCGAAGTGAACTATTGTCCAATAAAACGCACTGGAGAGAAAAAAGACACTGATACATACTCCATGAAGAATATATAATGAGGTGCTGGTATACGAAACCAGTCGGTAGGAAGGTCATTCACAAGATATCGGTCATGCGTGATTTTAATGGTCGATTCTTGTGGTACAAAAATACGAAGTTAGTCACATTCCAAAAAATAAAAATAAAAATAAAAAATACAGATGTCAACTGTCGATACGGAGCATAGAAAATTTCACTGTCCATACAGAACCATACAAAAGTCAACTGTCCATACAGATCCATACAAAAGTCAATTGTCCATACAGAACCATACAAAAGTCAACTGTCCATATAGAACCATACAAAAGTCAACTGTCCATACAGGTCCAAACAAAAGCCAACTGTCCATACAGAACCATACAAAAGTCAATTGTCCATACAGAACCATACAAAAGTCAACTGTCCATATAGAACCATACAAAAGTCAACTGTCCATACAGAACCATACAAAAGTC